GGTATGATTTGGTGAGACAACCTAGGAGGATTTTCATTGGCTTAGAAAGGATATTCTCAGAAAAATTCCTAGGTGGACCCCTGGAAGAGTCTTTTGATGCTTGCTAGAACTTTCATTGATAGGATTAAGGAACGAAAGGATTTGAAAGTGGAAAGTGAAATGAGAGTGTGACTATTAAGTTCAAAAGCTCGTCTATTTATTAAAAAAATGATGTTCGTATCGAAAAATTTTATGTTTGTCCTACGAAATAAATTTCGTCCAGTACGACAAATTTTGTATGGACGAATGTATGCGACAAAATAAAGGTTTTCGTAATCAATCAATTATGAAAGCTATCCTTTCATACAGATTTTGACCAGACTGATGTATAGCGAAATACGGTGTTCGTCCAGGACGATCAGAATTAATTGATCATTTTAATGGTGTTGACACGCGTTACCTCCATTCGACGGACATGTGTTTGTCGGACGAACCAAAGTTCGTACGTACGATATGCATTAAAACTACCTTATCGTTTTAAAGTGTCATTCATCTGCTTTGAAAAGAGCGCCTTTCTACCGTGCATGATATTCATGCAATTGAAGGAGAGTCAAGGGAGAGGTGTGAGAGAGTGTTTATAGGAGATTTCTTACTTCTGGAGTGTGAAGGATTCACTTGGAACTCAAAGGTAAGAATCTCTACTTGTGGTTTTTGAATACTTCACTTTTTCTCTCAATTCCTATCTAGATTTCCTATAAGAAGATCTGTCAAGGAGATCCGATTCTCTGTCGACACTGGAGAGTGTGAGCAGACGAAGGGTTCTCTGCTCACACTTAGTGAGTGTGAACAGCTAAAGGGTTATCTGCCCACAATAGGAGAGTGTGAAAGGACGATGGGTTCTCTGCCCATACTAGAAGAGTGTGAAAGGACGAAGGATTCTCTGCTCACACTAGGAGAGTGTGAAAGGATGAAGGATTCCTTACCTACACCAGGAGAGTGTGAAAGGAAGGATGGTTCTCTGCCAACACTAGGAAGAGTGTAAAAGGACGACAGTTCTCTGCCGCACCGGGTAATGGTAGAAGAGAGTTTTGTAAGGGCTTCTCTGTCTTGCTGTGGGTGCAAAAGGAGAGTCACTATTGGTATTAGTGCAATACTAGGAGGGTGCCTCCTGGGAGTGGATGTAGGTCATGTTTGACCGAACCACCATAAATCTCGTGTCTTTTATTTTTCCGCTGCTTTTATTTTTGCTTTTCTATTTTTAACTTGTGGTTGGAAAATGTTTTCTACAAAATTCATTAAAGTTTATTTTCGGTATAAAATATTCAAAAGAGGGATTAGTTTTTAATTACCAATTCACTCCCTTCTTAGTTAGCCACTGGGACATAAGCTTAGATTTAACAACCTAATTCATATTGAACAAATTTCAACACGAATTTCTACACAACGCCAGACTTCTACCCATCATCAGACTTTTACCCATCGCCGGACTTTCATCGGACTTTTACCAGACACCAAACTTTCATCTATCGCCAGACTTCTACCTGCCACCGGACTTTTGTCGGACTTCTACCTGACGATGAAATTCTACATATTGTCAAACTTTTGCTCGTTGCCAAACTTTTGCCAGACTTCTACCTGATGCTACACTTTCATCCATCATTGTAATTTCATCGGATTTCTACCCGATACTGAACATCCTCCCGTCGTCATACTTTTTTCAGACTTTTACCGTCGATATCAAACTTCCACCCATCGTCGAACTTTCATTGGACTTCTACCTGATGTCGGACATCCACTGTCACTGAATTTCTACCCGACGTCGGACTTCCTCCCATCAATGGTCCTTCCGACCTCCGTTGCCTACGAACTATGATCTTTTCGACCTCTATTGCCAGACAATGTTCTTTCCAACCTCTGTCACCATCCAATTATGGTCCTTCCAACCAAATGAACATGTCAATAGTGATGCTTCCTACTTCCACTATGTAACACACTTAATATAATGTATATTTGTTACATCAAGCCAAAGCCTTCCCTCCAATATAAGGCCTCATTTTTAATCAACTATAAATACTAATTGATTCATTTAAACTGGGCTAGGCCTCGTGGTATTTTCCTTTTTAAGTGTTCTACATATAAAAATCTCGGTGTCTCTAATAAATTTTGCACCCTCTCTTTTTATATATATGCGTGTTGGATCTTTGTACAAAGCTAAGACATTAAACTTTATATTTCTCTACTGCAGCGAATACTCTAAGACATAATAATTATAAAAATAAATATAAACATTTAGATATTTTAGGAATGCATGTTGTTGCGTCCTAGAGTATTTGCGGTGGTAGAGAAATATAAAGTTTAACATCTTAGCATTGTACAAAAATTTGACACGCAATCAGATAAGAGAGAGGGTGTGTCATTCACTAGAGACACCAAGTTTTTTACGTGGAAAACCCCTGAAAAAAGGGGAAAAACCACAGGACCTGACCTAGTATAAATGAGTCCACTAGTATTGTAGTTGATTACAAATGAGGTCCTTCCTCGGGAGAAGGCCTTAGCTTGATGTACATATTATAGAGTACATTACATAGTGAGAATAAAAAGCATAAATGTTGATGTGTTAGTTTGGTCTGAAGGAATGTAGTCGGTGTGAAACGTAAGTCTGAAGGACCATAGTAGGCGGGCGACAAAGGTCAGAAGGATTATAGTCGGCGGGCGACGTAAGTCAGAAGGACTGTAGTTGGCGAGCGACGTAAGTCTGAAGGACTGTAGTCGGTGGACAACAGAGGTCGGAAGGACTGTAGTCGGTGGGCGACGTATGTCTGAAGTATCGTAATCGGCGAATGATGGAGGTCGGAAGGACTGTAGTCAGTGGGCAATGTACGTCTAAAGGATCGTAGTCAGCAGGCGAGAGAGGTCGGAAGGACTATAGTCGGTGGGTGCGCAACGTAAGTCTGAAGGACTGTAGTTGGCAGGCGACGGAGGTCGAAAGGACTGTAGTCTGACGATGGAGGTCAGAAAGACGGCATCTGGTAGAAGTCCATCAATGGGAGGAAATCCAACATCAAATAGATATTTGGTGAAAGTCCGACAATTGTAAGAAGTCCAGCGTCTAGTAGAAATTTGGCGAATAGCGGAGGTCCGACGTCGGGTAGAAGTCGGACGTCAGTTGGTGGCCGAGGAGAACTCCAATGTTAGATGATAATCGGGGAGGACTCCAATGTTACTTGGAATTCTGGTGAAACTCCGACATTACTTGGAAGTCGGGCAAAATTCACACGTCACTTTGAGGTCGAGCGTTGAGTAGAACTCCGGCGTTGTTCGGAAGTCCGACATAATTCCGGCATCAGGCAGAACTATGGCGGTGCTCGAGGAGGAGTTATTCCCTCCTATCCTTATCTTCTGGCGTCGAGCAAAACTTTGGCGTTGTTCGGAAGTTCGGCAGAATTTCGACGTCGGGAAGAACTCTGGCAGTGGTCGATGAGGAGTTATTCCCTCTTCTCCTTCTCTTCTCCTTCTCTTCTCCTTCTCTTCTTCTTCCTTCTTCTTGCTTCTTGCTTGGGTCACCTCTTATGAGAAATGAGAGGTCTATTAATAGATTTTTTTTAGTGGCATGACCCTTAAATAGATGAGAGATCAGGGGCAAATATGGAGTGATTCGGATGAACGGCCGATATTGAATCATTTGATCGTGGACTGTTTATCAGACATTTGAAGGTCTCAATGATGTCGAAATTCAGCGATCTTTGGCTCGTTGGATTCGTCTCGTCGAGCGGCTTGATTATAATATAAGAACATCATATTCGGAAATCGTTTTGGTACTAAAATTTTGGTTTGAACTTTCCAATAACGCTTCGGGTGCTTGATTTGGACTCATTTGGGCTCGGACTTAGTCGAATTTGGTGTCGTTGGGTTCATATTTTTAGGATGCTCAGTTTGATTATAAATTTGCTGAAATCGAAGTTCAGGGATCCCAATTATTAATTATTAGAATTTCACGCTTGATTTTGGCTCAGATTCGGGCTCGATCAAGATAATTCTTTTGAGGTATATTATCACATGTAAAATTCCACAACTTTTTAAAAAAAGAGGGTAGAAAAAGGGGCCAATGCTATCAACACAACACAAACTATCATTAAAAATTAAATGGCTGCTCACCAATCATTTTTGTATTATAACCTTCCATTGGATATGTTGGGGCTGACAGTTTATATATGGTTAACCTATATTAACCATACTGTCTGTGACGCAGGAGCTTGCACTGTTCATCCACCATTGGTTTCTGTTTTTATGCTCTCAGTCAAGCCTTTTTCTTATGCAGCGAGATCTTATCGGGGCAACTAGAAGCTTTTGGGTGACCTTTGCCTAAATTACTAAGTTGTTTATTGTTTAAATGCGGAAATGGACCTTTGGAATTTTTTCCTCACATGTTTTCAGTTTTGGGGTTTTTTTCTCTGTCCTACTATCAACCTGTTCTTTTATATTCCTTTTGAAATTTCCATCCCCCCCCCCTTCCCCTCTAAATTAGCATTTGGAGATGCCATTCAGGTTCACTACAATTCTTGGCATTACAAGATCTCTTTGAGAACAAGGTACTTCTTTTTGTTCGGGTTCTTTCTTGCTTTTCTTTCTTGCATTTTTGCAAGGATAGGCGAACGCTCCCTTGCTGATAACTCTTTTTGGCGTTCGATCACAGCCAGCTAGGAGTTTTCTGCTAATTCTTGTACGCACTTAAGGATAAGGATCCGCACAGGCTCGTCGGTCTTTTTTTCTTTTTGGTATGAGCGTCGTTCGAGGCACTTAGTGATCTAGTGGATCCTTTAAGAACTGTGTTATCCGCAGAGTTGCAATAACGAGCGTAGGCCGCCTTCTGCGGGTTAAAAAAAAAAAAAAAAGAATACCCGCGTTCTCTAAACACTTGTTCCAGCATTTTGGCTTTAAAAATTGAACAATTCTCCAAAATCCCACAGTAACACTCGATCATTCCAGAAATTATTCTGTCTCGCATATAATAATTTTTCTGATCATTCAGGACAAAAAGTGACAATATAATCCGAACCATGACCACAACGAAACCAATCACTTCCGTCATCAGCATATACCATCGCTTTAGGGCACTTCACCTTCAACATCTCCTTATAAGCCATCCTTGTACACTTCACTTCCCGCTTGCCCACATCATAGGCGCAGCATCCTTCCTCATCCTTCATCACTTCACAAGCCGACCTACAAGCCACTGCCGCCCTTCCGTCTGCGGCCAAAACCTGATATTTCTGCGGACATACGCTGTTAATATCAAAGTCGCAGGACGCCAAGCTGCACTCGCTCGCGGTGGGGGCTACAGTCACCGGAACATTAAATCCGGCGATGAGGCTGACGTCGTAAGTGTCGTTTCCAGCACCGCCGCCAAGCATGAAATCAATGAAGGTCACAGGAGGAGTGGGAAAGGCACCATCACAGTATAGACTGCCAGATTTACAGTCGCCGGTGGCACAGACGAGCTGGGTGTCGGGCCGAAGGAGGCATCGGGTTCGGGCCCAGATATGAGCGGCCCATCCCGGTGGAGGGGAAATGAGTTTCTGATCGCCGGAGTTTAAGACAAAGTCGGTGTCATCGGGGTCGAGGCGAGGCGTTCTCTGCTGGTTGCTGTTGCTGGATATCCATAGTGTTTGGACGCACTTGTTTTGTACCGTAATCTTTGTGGCCAATATTCCTTGTAGTTGAAGAAATCCGCCTGCTTTATATTTGGGATTTGTTGTTGATTTATAATCCAACTACATCACATATAATTTGAAATCAAACGGGAAGAAAATGTTGGAATACCTGCGAAAGAGAACAAAAGAATGGCAGCAAGAGCTGGCGCCTTGATTTGATTATCAGCCATAGATGAAAGGAAGAGTGAGAGAATAGTTTGGAGGACGAACGTACAAGTGTGTTTCTTGTGACTTTGGGATTGTATATAATTGGTTTACTGTCTTTGATGGGCAAACGAAACGTCGTAGTGTCTCTTGACGCCTTATGGATAGAAGGTTACATGTGAAGACTCATATTAATTACTAAGCGTTAAAATACGCATGAATTCAATAAATCTGCGATGACTTTTTTGACTTGATACAAATTTGAATCATCAAATTTTCGCCCATAGCAAGCAGGGACGAAATGTATAAGCAAATATATGTCCGAGATATGTGAAATTTGGAATTTAATCCTAAATGAAATGTATACTACCGTTTAACCCAAGACCCCTTAGCCGTCATTCCCTATTTAGAAGCCAACAGAAGAGAACAAGAGGCTGATGGTTCAACAGAAGAGAACAAGCAGGGAGATTAGCATGCCAACAGAGATTAGCATGTCTCCCTGTGTCATTCTTACGCTAGGAGAGGCCTGTGGTTCACACTGAGTGGACAATTCCGCAACATTAAAGTAGGGAGACATGCTAATCTCCTGGAAGACCATATTTATAGGAGTGATAACTAGTTGGATCAGTTCAGTTGAACCGGCCCTAATTAGGAAGCGGACAATCAAATAGCGAGCGGGCGAACAACAGCGAGCAAATGAGCGGGCCAGACGCAGGTGCAGGAGGACCTGGCATAATAGGATTGTGCATTGGAGCGAGGAAACACATACGAGAGTATAAAGGAGCGACTCCTCAGGAAGGATAACTCTATTACGTTCTTCTAGCTTAGCTAAATGGGAGAATTCGAATAGCGAGCAGTGTCAGTGAGGAAGAGAGAGCAGGAGAGAGATCGGGAAATCTGGAGAAGGAAAGGGATTGAATCAAGTGTGAGGCGAACGAGCGTCGGAAGCTGCTAAGATTAAGGTGATTATTTTTTATTATAAAGTTTGTTTAGATTGTTTTTATTTGATAGTAAGTAATATGTTGATAAGTAAGTAATATGTTAATGAACTTTTTAAATAAATATAAGATTTAATACAATGCATAATTATTTATTATTAAAATAATTATTTGAAATTTTTTATTTATGGAATATATATATATATATATATATAATATGTAAGAATAATATATTTATGAGTTCATGATAATTTGTAAAAAAAAATTAGAGCTTAGTTAAAAAGTTAATAAAAGAAAGCTATTAAAAATATAATAAATTATAATTGTTGCAGGTTAGAATATTTGCGGTGGTAAAGTAAAAAAATCTTTCGTCTTTGCGTTCAAAAGTATTCAGTACACAAGCACAGAGAAAAGAAACATCAAAATTTTTTACGTAGAGAACCCTAAAGAGAAAATCTATGGGGCCATGCCTAGTTGAAATAAATCTAGTACGTACTGTTTGAATATATTGCAAATAATTGGTTTTTCCTTGAAGTTGGTGAAGATTAAACTATAATAGAAAACTGTTTGGTTAAAATCTAGCGACGAAACAGGGATTGGCCAGAAGTCCAATGATGGTTGTTGGACGGGTAGAAATCCGGCATCAGGTTGTTGCCGACCGAACGCCATGCAATAGTTTTTGGTTGGACAAAAGTCTGACGATAGCTGGTGGTGGGGCGGAAGTTCAACGACAGACAGTTGCCAAGCAGAAGTCAATCAAAAGTCGGACAATTGTAGGTGGCGGGGCAATGGTCGAGGAGTAGTCTAGTGGGAAGAGAACTCTGATTTATCTTCCCCTCTTCTCATTTTTTTTTCTTCCTGGCTTCCTCCCCTTGAATGAAGAATGAGAGGTCTATTTATAGTTTTTTGATAGTGGCATTACTAGTAAATTGGGAGAAGATCAAGAGCATGATGAGAGTGTTTTGAATAGATAATTGATATCAACTCACTTAATTATAGACTATTTATTAAGTATTTGAGTATCTTAATAATATTAGAATTTAGTTATCTTGGGCTTGTTTGATTCATTTTGTCGAGATGCTTGATTTGACTATAAGCATGTCATGTTTTAAAATCATTTGGTCACCCACTTTATGATTTTAACTTTTCTAATGCACTTTGAGCGTCTTTAATTTGGATCCATTTGGGCCGAGTTTGTATCATTTCGAGATGTTCAGTTTGACTATAAGTTTGCTAAAATGGGAGTTTAAATGGTTCCAGATTTAATTTTGAAAGTTTTCAACTCAGATTTGCCTCGAGATTTTTGCGTGATCAAGATAATTTTTTATGATAAATGAATAATAATGTAGAAATTTTAATTTTTTAAATAATATTGTTAATAAATTAATTTATAAAGCAAAGAGAATTAAATTTGTCTTTGATTATGAGAGTTATTTAAATGAATTAATTCATTAAGTAGAGAGAGAGATTTTAATAAAAAAAAATATTTAAAATAACAAGTTAAAGAAATTAAGAGTAAATTATAAATAAAATTTAACGATTGAATCTTTTTATAAGTGTTAAGTCTATCAACTTAGAAGTAAGAAGTAAAAGTGAAGTAGCATAATATCTAACTCAAGATACTCTCATATCTTTTAACTACAATAGTGATTTTGTTCTATCTTAAATTAAATGTCAACTTATTAAGTTTTTATTTCAAGCTAGATTATGATTTATGTTTCTTATATCCAATGATTTGTCATATAATACAAATAAATATATTATGATTTGTTTTCATAGAAAATAAATGAATGATATGATTAATAAATATTTGAATATACATGCATGCTGAATGATAAAGCACACCCCCTTATGATACTAACTCTAGAAGCATTGTACCCTACAAGTAAATGAAAAAGGTTATTAAAAAGGAAAAAAAGTACCTTCAATACTATTTTAGATGGTGGCTCCTATGATGATTATATTATTTACAATAAAAGGTAAAAATATTGATAAATATATGATATATGCATAATATTGAAGGTGCGTTTATTAATTCTATCATCTCCAGCTGAAACCCGCCGCTCTGGCGATTTAGGGTTTTCGCTCTCTCCCTTCATCTTCGTCCGTTTTGCCCTATTTTTCCTCCAGTTTTTCGGGGCTTTTCTATGAGTTGGTCTTCGCTATGTCCGATCTTTGGCTTTTTTCCCCTCGTGGGCTTGTTCTCTATGGCCAGTTCACAGGCCCCCAACCCTTAGGGCACTCTTGCTGGTTGTGAGCCGATCAAAAATAAAGGCTTCTTTAATCTCGAGGCGGGGGATAGTTCTCCTTCAAGATCACGATCTTTTATGGAGGTACTCTCGGGTGGTGCATCTTCAGGTGATGTCCTTCCGAACTTGTCTCAAATGACGTTTAACGGTGTTCTAGCCATTCTTTTGACTGATGATGAAGTTCTTAAGCTGGCATCTCCCTTTCAGTTCACTTTGGTCGGTAAATTTGGTCTTAACAGTTCAAACCTTGATTCCATTCATAGTTTTTTCACAAACTTAAAACTCTTGGGTTTTTTCTCGATCGGTCTTTTGGATTCTAGACATGTAGCAATACAACTATCTAACGATCTTGATTACAGTAGAATTTTTGCTAGAAGATAATACTTCATTTTTAACTGTCAAATGTGCATTTTAAAATGGACGCCATTTTTTGATATCAAGGAAGAATCCCCCATAGTTCCCATTTGAATTTCTTTCCCTAACCTTCGGTTGCATTTTTTTAACCAGAAAGTTTTACATGCTTTGGGATCCATTTTCGGGAGACCCCTTCAAACAGATCAAGCAACTGCTTCACGAACAAGGCCTTCTGTGGCTAGAATTCTAGTAGAAGTTGATATTACCAAAAAAACATTCGAAGGAAATATGGGTTTGATCGAAAGCTTACGGTTATATGCAAAAGGTTGAATTCGAGAAAGTCCCTGATTTTTGTTCTCATTGCAAGATCCATGGACATGTCCCTTCTGATTGCTTTAAACTTCACCCCGAATTTAAGAAAATGATTGTCCAGTCGAATGGTAAACATGGATCCACCGAAAAAACATTTGTGCCTATCGGGAAGGTTATCCATTCGAGCCAGGTGGAACCGCTTCCATCGTCTGATAAGTCGGAAGTTGAAATTTTTTCTTCTCAAGTTCCTCTGAATACTTCAAATGTTGATATTATTATTATTGAGGAGAAACATGAAACTATTGTGAACAATACTGAGGCTACTGAACCTAAAATTTTCATTTCCATAGACTCTATGTTAAATGACATTGATAACATTGAGGAAGTTCACTCGGATTTAATTCCTATTACTATTAATATTGTTGAAAAGCATTCTAACTCTATTTCTAATGATGTTGCTAACAGAGAAGGTGAGATTATTGTGGATGGAAATAACGATACTTGCGAAGAAGGGGATTTTCTCCCTTTTTCTAATGGTGAGCAAAACATCCTACCAAATGAAAAATTTGTGAGTAATGCTGTTGCTTCTTCTTCTATTTCTAATATTGCTAATCCTAAAAATATTGATGATGACGGTTATTCTAAAGTTGGTAAAAAGAAAGGGAAGAACCATAAAAATTCTCAACCTTCTACTCCCCGGTCAACCCGTGCTTAGAATTCTTCCAAATATCTTAATGATTAAAGCTCTTCTATGAAATGTTAGGGGGATTGGGGGTAAGGATTCGATTGCTAGAGTTAAAAATCTTTCTAGAATGCATAGTATCATGTCTTTAGTTTTAATTGAGCCTCTTATTGCTCCTGATAAACTTTGCTCTACTGCTTCTAAATTGGATTATTCTAAATTTGCTGCTAATTATTCTAACAAAATATGGATTATGTGGAATAGCAATATTAATGCTAATGTTATTTTGGATTTCCCTCAAATTATTAACTGTGAAATTGAATTTTTTAACAATAAGTGTTATGCTTCTTTCGTCTATGCCGCTAGCTCTAGATGGAATCGTCTCCCGCTTTGGGATCAGATCCGTCAATTTGCTAACAATATTAATGGCCCTTGGTGTATTGGCGGTGATTTTAATATTATCTCTAATGCCTCAAAAAGAAGGGGAGGTA